AAGAGGTATGTGCATGGGTTTAAATATGCTGCCACTACAGCCGTCTTTGGGCTCTTCATTTCTTTGCCAGGTCTAAGCTGGACCAGAGACCACGTTTTGCTCAGTGTCCAACGGTTATAATAATTGAAGGACAAGAGGCTGCACCACATGTGAAGTGAACACTTCACAGAGTGGCTGTATCAGTTCTATCTGTGTTGCATGCACTTTCTATAAATGTGTTAGATATTTTATAATACTGATGCTTACTGTCTCTCAAACTGTGTGGATGCATACTGTAGACACTTACTGGACTCATACTGTGTCACATGTATGTACATAAAATCTATAAAGATATGTGCATATGTATGCTATATAGCAATAGCACACATAAAATTATATACTTTCCTGTATCTATTTCAATGAAGAGGAAAATTTTAATAAGAATAGCAAAGAAAAAGGACAAAATATTCAAAATGTTTTCTACATAAATTCAGAGGATCCTGTGTAACCAACAGCGTGTTTATTTTGGCTTTATAGGAATCAGCAAAAGAAAATAATAGTTTTCAAAAATGAAAATAGAGTATTTCAAATAAATAACCAATAATTTTTAGTATAAATATGTCCTATAGGATAATAACTCTATGAAATAACAACCATAGCTACATAGGGAGATCCAATCTCAAAGTAATTATCTTCTAAGTAGTCATATAGAATATTTGTGTGTCAGGTACCATATTAAGTATCTTACATGTACTAGTTACTTTCAAATTAAAACAAAACATAAGAGCCATGAGTGGCAGGTTGAAATTAGTATAAGTTTTTATTACTTTTTAAAAACAGGGTCTTACTATATGGGTCTGGTTGGCCCAGTGTTCAATATGTAGACTAGGCTAGTCTCAAACTCACAAATATCTGCCTTTCTCTGCCTCCCAAGTTCTGGGATTAAAGACATGCACCATCACTCCCAGCCATAGATGCTTAATACGGTTAGAAAACGGTGAAAGTATTCAAAATATTTCCTACATGGATTCAGAGGATCCAAGTAGCCCATGAGGTGTTCATTTTTGTTCTATTGGATTTGGTAAAAAGAAAATATACAGTAGGCCTACTTATATTGGAATTTCAGATAAAGAACAAGCGCCGTGTTAAGAGAAATGTCTCATAATAAGCCTGAGTATGCCAAGATGGTTCAGGAAATACAGGCACTACTCGCAGATCCTCACGACCTGACTTCAAAATTAGAACCTGCAGGATGGAAGAAGAAAAATGATTCTCATGTTGTCCTCTGACATCCACACACATGCTGTGGCATGAACATGCCCACAATTTTTTAACATCTCTATTAAACGACTACTTGTTTTGAGGCAGATACTTGCCTGGTAGCCCAGACTAGCTCAGAACTAGACATGTATTCCAGACTGGCCTCTAATTCATAATCCTCCTGATTCAGCCTTCTAAGTACTGGGATTACAGGCATGTACCACTATGCTCTGATCAGAGATATTCATGAATTGTGTAAGGGGTGTGTGTGTGTGTGTGTGTGTGTGTGTGTGTGTGTGTGTTGCTGGCCATTAAACTCGGCCTTCACATGCTAAGCAAATGCTTTTATTACTGAGTTATCTATCTAGCCACAACTACCGCTCTCTAAGGTGGCAGTCACTCTCTTGTTCTTCCTCCCCCTTCTAAGACTCATTTCTTATATTCTCAGGCTTTCCAGTTGCTGTCTGAGAAAGTGGCATTTGAACAACCTCTGATATCATTTACAACTCGGCAAATTTTTCTCGTTAGACATAAACCGACAAGACACCAAGCGAGGTCATAGGAATATGACTCAGCTGAGAGTAAATGAAATGATCTTGTCTAAGCATAGGCAAAACAAGGTCAGTGTGCCACCCTGGAAACACTGAATTTCCCCTACTGTGCAACACAGGTGACCGCCATGTTCCCAATTCCGGCACTAATCTCACTTAAATGTGTATCCACTATAAATAAGAATTACTGAGTTTGGCAACCATACAATTGTTCCTAGTTTCTGATGGCATCTGCATTCAAAGGTACACCTGTGTCCTGAGGCCCACCTTCAAGTTGCCCAACTTCTCTAACGCTTTTGTTCTTGGTACCAGATATCAAAATGAAAATTAGAAAAGAGCTTCATTTTGAGATAAGGGCTCACTGAGTTGCCAAAGCCGACCTTCAACTGGCTTTATAGCCCAGACAGGTCTGAGAAGCTGTTGCCTCCACCTCCTATAGATCTGGGCTCACAGGTAGACATCAGAAGACCAACTCAAACTGGTTCTTTCTAACATCTTGTTACTGAGACACTCCACAGTTTCCTGGAGGGTATATTTTCTTTCTCTGAAAATAATAAGCTCAACCTACTGAGTATGGATACAATCTTCAGAGACCATGGTTCACATCTTGATCTGCAAGCAGGAGGCAGAGAAAGAAAACTGGGAACAGCAGGCCCTTCCAACATGGACACACCTCTTAATCCTCCCCCAAACAATTCCACCAACTGGGGACCCAAGTATTCAAATATATGAGCCTATGGGGGCAATTCTCATTCAAAACACCAAACTTATGCTATATGACTTGTTTAAATTCTATATTCATATCTGTTTATTATATGTTCCTCCCATTAGCATGTAAGCTGCATGAAGACTGGCATTGTGTCTTGATGATAAGTATATCCACAATACATAGAACCTTGACTGGCCCGAGCTGGTACAAATTAGTATGTATTTAATACATATTAAGCAACATAATAAAAAGATTTATATTATGTTCAGTCCTACACATTTTATTCTGTCCATAGTCAAAATTAATCTTATTGTTTGGTTTCATCCTCCAAATGGATAAGTTTATTATCAAATATCCATTCTCTCTCTTTTTTGCTTTTCTCTCTTTCTCTCTTTGTCTCATTCCCTCCTCTCTCTCTCTCTCTCTCTCTCTCTCTCTCTCTCTCTCTTTCTCTTTCTCTCTCTCTTTCTGTGTGTGTGTGTGTGTGTGCGCGCGCGGTAAGTGTTCATGTGTTGTATATGTGAACATATGCATGAAGGTGCATATGTCTATATATGTGCACACCTGTAGAGATTCATGCTAATATCTTCCATTACTTCTCACAGTGAAGTCAGAATTCACCTAGTGACTAGACTAACTGACCAGAGAACTCCAGGGTTACAGACCTTCCGAACTGGTTTTTATCTGGGTGCCTGCTGTGGTTTCAATATAAATGGGTCCCATAGTCTCAAGTATTTGAATATTTGATTCCTGGTTGGTAGACCTATTTGGGAAGGATTAGGAGGTGCTAATTAGTGGAGGAAGTATGTCACTGGGGTGTGAGAGCTTAAAAGACTTGGTGCCATTTTATATTTGCTCTCTTGCTTTTGGCTCAAGATGTGGACTCTCAGCTTGCTGAGATGTTGTTTCAAGATGTGGGTTTCAATTGCTGTTCCAGCCACCATACCTGCTGCCTCAGGTCAGTTTGCATGGCTTCCTACCCTCTAGAGCTGTATAAGCCCACATCAATTATTTCTTCTATAAGTTGCCTTGGTCATGGAGCTGTATCACAACAATAGAAAAGTAACTAAGACGCTGGAATTTCTGCAAATTGGTGCAGCCAATGTGGAAACCAGTGTGGAGTTGTCTCAGAAAACTAGAAATAGATCTATCATGTGACCCAACTCTACAACCACTCCTGGGCATATATCCGAAGGATACTATTTGCTACTATAAAGACACATGCTTATCTGCATTTATCGCTATTCTGCTCGCAATAGCTAGGACATGGAAACAGCCTAGATGTCCATCAACTGATGAAAAGATAATGAAAATGTTAACTATACACAATGGGATTTTACTCAGCTATATAACCTAGTCAATAAACAACCACCAACAGTTACGTGTAAGACTCTAAGTGCTTCTGAGGATGAAATGCTATGGGGATAATAAAGAGAAACAGGACAAATATTATTTGCTTCCGAGACAAGGCTCATTTGACACTGGTTTGTTATTTCCGTCTCCTAAAATACTTTCATCCGCGTTTATGGACCTACTGAACCCTATGAAAAGGGAGAAACTTGCCTTACCTGGTGTATATTTGCTGCAGATCAGAAGTGATCACTGTAAATAAAAACGGAGTTAATAAGGCACTGAATCATTTAATATTCACTTAACAAGAGTTATTCGAATATAGATTTCTTCTTAAAAGTAGACACTGTAATTTGCTTATCTTGTTATCCTACAATTTGAATTATGGGTTAAGTAAGAAATTTTAATACGCAGTTTATATTTCAAGGTGGTTTAGCGTCCAAGCAACACAGGCTAACCAAACAGATTTCGAATTTGGAGAAGACCTGAAACTCTGAAGGTTTTTTTTTTTAAGCCCTGGGGGCTTACACGGAGTTTGAACAAACAAGACTAGCTTCCCTGTCCCTTCCAACGGTGTTAGCGCCTTTCCCTTTCCCACACCGCCTTGCGCTCCAAAAAAGAGCAGAGCACTTTAAGAGCTTCCCGGTGACGGAAAGAGCCGAAGGCGGAGCGTGGCACTGAAGCGAGGACTCGGGCTCTTCCGTCACCGGGAAGCTCTTAAAGTGCTCTGCTCTTTTTTGGAGCG